CATCGGCTAAATAGCCGATGGAGACATGGCGAGTGGCTTGAGGCCATGTTCTTCTTAATAGATAGATCTATTAACCGACAACGTCTAATGTGACATGCTATCAACAGATCGAGTCGCCTGATGCAGCATTGATAGCGGAGTCATACCGGATTCTGATGATCAATGAACCTATCCTTAATAGAACATGACTTCAAACATCCACCATGTGTGATCAGGATTGAGATAGATTAGTCATCAAACAGGATCTAACGTCAAGAATTGAATTTAACTGTAATAATAACCAGCAGACGATAGATCAAAATAATAGGACTAATAAATCTCAATTTAGATAGGACAATTGGTGATATTGTATGAAACAGTAAACTATTTAACACAATATCGATACCTTTGATTAATACCAACGTTTATAAGAGATCAATTGTCTGTTGCAGCCTTACAAATAACAAAATAGATTGATAACTAACTTATATCGTGACTTGCAAGAGATCAGCTGTGTCTTGTAGCCTTGCAAGTAACAATATAAGTCATGACAAATACTCACAAACAAGCCAGAAGTCAGGTCGTCCGATGCATCCCTGCTTGCCCAAAGAATTCATCGAAATCTACTCTACTCCTACTCCTAAGGGGTGGCCTGAGCCGAAAAGTAAATGTACTTGATTTGGTTGATCGATGAGAGATGTCTATTACAATAGCCAGGGTTTAAAGGCTTGACTACGAGTCCTGGTTCAGCAAGACCGATTACAAAATTTGGAAAAGGAAACAAAAACATCCTAATTTAACATAACGTGGACTCTAATCTTTCCCTTCTGTGGAGCTCGACATGTCTCTTCTGCTTCTGATCAATGTCACCTTTGTCGTGACGAGATCATAACCTTTAGACGATTCTGACGAACCAAATTATGGTGTCAAACACGTGGTGCCACTACCGCCGTCGCCGCCCGTGCCGTCGTCTTAGAAGAGAATGGTGAGGGGCGCTTGGTTGCGCTGGGGCCACAAGACAAGGAGACAGCGGAAAAACAGTAAATTCTCATGCCACAAGAGGGTTCACAGGGTTCCTACCACGCTGGCATGCCCACGTGGCGTGTCACGTCAACGAAAGTGGCAAAAATATAGGAGGTTCACTATTTGGGATGGCAAATCTGTATGTTCATGTGTAAAAATGGCAAATGAAGAGGTGACATCCATAAGGATGGCAAAAAGTTAATATCTCATCCTATCTATGGATGGAAACTAATCGAATTCATATAGAATTAGATTAGGATATCGTGTGTAAAGTATTTTAATTCAGATTTAAATTGATATAAATAATTTCAAATACGAATATAAAACACATGTCTCGGATTTAGATTTCTATTCGAATATTTACCCAATTCAACTCAAATTGCATATTGTTAAATTAAATATACATAAATAGAATTTTACTACTAAGTTCATCGATAACCAATGTGAAATAAAATCAAAGTACACTTGCCTCCAATATCGAAGTGAACTAAATTATAATGAATAATATTTTAATAAATTGATAGGTCAAGTGAAAAAATTCAAATAAGAATGATAGGCAATAAGTAGCCATTTGGTTATAAATGCTTTTATAATTACAAAATTATTGAACAAGTAGAGATTAAAATATGTCAGTACATAACATAGATAAGAATATCTCATAAAAATAATATAGTTAGCAATAAATATCTAATAATAAAGTATATCAATTAATCAATCATTATTTATATAATATTTATATTATAATGACATTATAAATTATATAAAAGATCTAAAATAACTCACATCAGTAAATAATATAGGTTAAAGTATTAAAAAATTTGCAACAACCAATATATTAGGTTTAAACTAGATTATAAAAATACTACAATTAATTTAATATTTAGGTATCATTGATATATTAAAGTAATGTTATAAGTTATTTATATATATATATGATTAAATAGTTTCAATGCATTACTAGTAATACTAAAATTAAATAATTAGTCACTAATCATGGATAAAAAAAACTTTTAAATAGATTCACTAGTTCTTTGCGGATATGAATAAAGGTCGTATATTTCATATTTTTGTCGTGCGGATCTGAAATCGGATAGAAAAAATATAATAAAACGAATTTAGATACATTCATTCAGTATCCACGTTAGGAAAGGATATGAATATGGATATTCATATTACAAGTTGTAGCGTATATAAATGTCGAATAATTTAAATATCTATTTCCATTTTTCATCCCTACATGTCTTGAGTGAATAATAAAACTTTTTAAGTTTACTAATTTATAAAAAATATTAAATTTATTAAACTAAATCTACACCTAGTATTAAATAAGAAAAACAAAAGATACTCTAAAAAAGAAAAAAATCACAGAATGGGAGCTAGATATACTTGAGACTCTGGAACACCGTGGTGTTACTGTGGAAAGAACGGGATAGAAAAAAATTGAGACTAGGAAGAATCCCGCGGCAAGAAAACACAACCCCGTCTTGTTACCGTGGCAAAGGATACGGAAACGAAATACAAACCATGTTTGTTTCGCTGAAAAGCCAAGCTGAAAACTACCGTTCGCTGATTTGTTGTGAGAAAAAAATACTATACCATGGCTGATAAGCCAGGCTAATAAGTTCAAGCAAACAGGACATCGACGAGACACTATAATTAGGCTAGACGAAATAGAACAGAACACCGTTGTGTTACTGTGAAAAAAAATACTCCAGGAGCGAGACACAGAAACAAGGTTGAACGAGAATGATGTGGTTTTAATATCAGATATAGATTAATACACCATAAAATAATAATATTATAGAACAAATGTATACTATCTTAACATCCCAACAAATAAATAGAACATCACATGTATACTAAGTGAGCATCAATGTATACAATGAAATATAGAAATAAAAACATGAAAATAAAAAAAATCAAAGGAGGAAGAGGAACAACAACAACAACAATAATAAATTAATAAAAGGTTGACAAATCATAAGGGAAAACAAAATAATAAAAAGGAAAAAACCACAAAATATAGGAAAGTAAAAAAGAGAACATCCCATGAATACTATTTGAACAACGTAAAATATACCATAGAATATCTCAAGTACTATATGAATATTCAAAGCATAATCATAGAACATCCCATTATACATGATCACCCCAAAATACATCATAAAACATTACATGTATACTATACAAACATCACATGTACATCATGGAATATAAGAAACAAAAATCAAAATATGGAAATAAAATAAACAATTTGAGTAAAATAAAGAAGAAGAAGAAGAAAAAAGGGAAATAACAAATGAATAACAAATAAAAAATGAATAACACTTAGAAATAAATAACTTAAATGGAAATAAGTTAATAAAAGTTTGAACAAAACATAAGGGGAAGCAAAATAATAAAATAAAAATTTTACATATTAAAGAAAAAAACAAAAGAGAACATCACATGGGCAGTACTTGAACAACCTAATTATTCCTTAGAACATCTCACGAGTATTATGTGAATACTCAGAGATAATGGTGAACTATGTATGATTTCCACTTATTTTTCCAATTGTCTTTCGCAAATGAGCGAAGTCAGCTGCGAAGGCTTTTGGGCCTGTTCGCTTGAACTTATCAGTCGGCTTATCAGCTAGACTACAGTATTTTTCTCTCATAACAAATCAGCTTCAACCGGCTTATCAGCCGACTTTAATAACACGTGGAAGACTATCTTTTACTGGCGACGACTCGCAATCTACTGCTGTTCTGGACGGCGACAACACCAGCACCATCACAAACCCAGCTAAGCATTCGTTCCCCTCTTTCAGCAAAAGTTACTATGCATAATCCATTTGCTCGTAGCGTACGACATTACAATAATCCCTAAGTTCTAGAGTTTCTTTTTTTTCCCAAAGCAAAGGGTATACCTGTTCTTTTGCTCATAGCGTACGACATTACAATAATCCCTAAGTTCTAGAGTTTCTTTTTTTCCAAAGCAAAGGGTATACCTGTTCTTTTCACATTCAGGTCGTGTGTACATAAAAGAACTGCTTACACATAATGTATAGAACACGTGATTTTCGTGCTTGCAGGTTTTCTAACCACTAGCGCTTTAATTCGTTTTATTTACTAGCAAAATTATCCGTGCGTTGTAAAGTGAGTATTTTTTTAAATGCTAAAGTATTTTTTTCAGTCCAAACTTTTAAAAAATAATATCAGAAAGTGCTTCATCAAAATGCAATATCTATATCTATAGAGCCAAAATTTCTTATTAATTCAAATTTACCTTGAATTTATGAAGCGATGGCCTGGCATGACCCAACTGTTTTCTGTATATATAAGCAACTTTGGCTAGGTTAAACTCCGGCAGCGTGGAGGCCAGAGGCCTTTCTTGTGTCACCAGCTCCGCCAGAGGGCCAAAGAAGTCAGAGTCGCCGCATTTGCCAGGATTTGAAGAATAGGGCAATGGAGACTCTAGCCTCTTGTATGGACTTGAGGACCACCCTGTGCTCCACGCTTTTGTAGTCATCATTTGAAACCACCTGTAAATTAGGTACCACAAGAATTAGCTAGAGAGGTGTTAATAATAATAATACTTATTAGGTGGCTTATTATTCCATGATTATAGTATTGTAGTACCTTTAACACGTTGCCGGTGTTGATAAGAAGTGGTGACGGTCACGACGTCCACCTAGGCATGTCCATGGCTGTTGATCGAGCCGTCGGTGTGGACACGGCTGCCGACGATCCGCTCTGGCTGAGGGCACGACGAGTAGTAGTGGCACTGCATAAGGGTTGCTTCAAAATGCGTTGCACTGTCCAGCTGCTCGGCCCCCACGCCGACCGCTTCCAGACAGCAGGCCGGCGATCAACTTCCCGAGCCCCGTCAGCGACTGGTGGTACTCCAGCAGCGTGTCTAGGCACACCGCGGGGAGGTGGTCGAGATGGATTCACTTGGCTGAAGTGGAGAACGACCATGTTGCGCCATGGCAGGAGAGGCACGCTGGCAGCCTGCTAGGCGTTCCGCGGCGGGATGGGCCTATGTACGGTGGTGTAGGTGGCAGGCCCGGTGGTCGAGACAGAGTAGTACGTCGAGCGCGCCGCCATTGGCCGCTCGTTGAAGGCCCTGACCACGGAGAGCGCCGACTCGACAGTGCCGACCGGGACGCCATGGTTGGTAACCTGGAAGAAGCCGTACGAGCGTGCTGTGGCACCAACGAGCACGGCGACGTGGGAGCGCGGGAGGGTGAGGTCGACGGACGGGGCGACCAAGGCCTCCGCGACAGCTGAGGAGATCGACGTGGTGTGCATCAGGAACAGCGGCTGCACCTTGGTGACGCCGGACTCGACGAGCCCGCGGACGCCGGCACACGACTCGTGGAAGTCGAACAGGGCCAATGCGTCCTCCTCGTCTTAGTCGTTGACTGCAGCCATCAATTGCTGGATTGATCCCTGGTGGGCGCGCGGCGGAGTGCCTCCACCTGTACTATATGTTGGCTTTCATCTGTTTCTGTTTCCTTGAGAGAAACGAGTCCGAGCAAATCGTGGACGCCAATTTGATTTGGGCACCAAAAGGATTTAGAGTTGGAGGCGAGAAATTTTGCCTATTTATTGTTTGGGATAGATTTATGTGCTTAGCATCGTCACATTTTCTGTTCGAGCGGCACCTTGCTGTGCTCACCTACCCTCCGACCTTTGAGATGTATTTTTGCTCTAAATTAAAAGTTTGTTCAATACTTTTTTTATAAAGATACCCTTAAATTGAGACATGCATGTATATTTAATCCAATACTCTTAAATTGATAAAGCACGGGAACATCGTGTCATCTCATCAACTCTGTCTTGGTCGTCTCATCACCAACCACCCTGCAGACCTCTCGACACAGCAGGTTTCCTAACTACACTATGGGGTGTGACTACTCCGCTTTATGTTTTAAACGGTTTCAGCTCTACGTACTCTGTTTGAAAAAAAATGTGGAATTGTAAGAGCACCTAAAGAGGTATTTTTCAAACTCCAGTTTTTTATGGAGCTGCTCCATGATGGAGTTTGGAGAGCAGAATTTGTGGAGCAGTGCTTGAGGAGCAGTGCCAAACACATCTTATATACTTCTTCTATCATATTCCCCAACATGATATATTTATGCTACATGCATTATTGTATTATACATAATGTGGACACTAACTTCACGAGCAGGAAAAGTTCTTTGTCATATACACCACCGTATAGTCACACGTAACATGAGCTATAAATTTCTAGAATTGTCTGGGTTTTCAAAATTATTCCTTGTTTTCTAGATTACATCTATCTATTCATTATTTCTCTTATGCCTAGGAGAATGCTTTTAACAGCTCATCATCAAATAAGGATCATAATGTTTATACTGCCTATATCTCAAAATAGAAGGTGCGATTTGATTTGGTATGATTATTAAGATCACACTTTAATAGTTAATTTCTCTTATTATATATAATTTATGGCAACGGCGAAAGTATTATTAGAAAAAATTCTAAAAATAAATTTAATGTTACCACTATTGTACTGTATTTTTTTATTTTATGAAGCTAATTTTTTGTCAAAAATAGAAAAGTTTGAATTTGAAATACGTCCAAGCTTTATATCTTTGAGACAGAGGGAGTATTGCATAAGTGCCGACACTTCATCTAGGTTTACCCATTCTCACTATTATTATGTAATTATCCTTGAAATCCTTCCTCCATGGATTCTTTCGATGGGAACCTACGCCAACTCTCCCTCCGTCGTAACGATGAAGTCCAGGTTCTCGAAGCGCACGTGCGCGCCCGGGACCCAGCTGATGCCGTCACTAGCCATTCGAGGCCTGATGTGGACGTCGAGACGCACAAAAAGCCCCTACCTGGTGCGCCAACTGTCGGTGTTTTGGGACCACCGACGAGTAAATTTGTATTTGCGCGTCTGGCTCAGATGGTGTGCTTGGAGGACACAAGGGTTTATATTAGTTCGGGCGGAACGTCCCTACGTTCAGTTCGCTGCTGTTTGTGTTACCGGCACTTGGTTTGTAGTAGGGGTTACAAACAGACGAGAGAGGGAGAGGATCCCAAATCTCTGGTGGAAGGAGTGAACGGGTGCTGAGAGCTCGCTTGCCGCTCAGCCATGTGCTCATGTCGTGCTCTTGTGTTCCGATCTCCCGTCTAGATCTCCTTTTCATGGGGCGCCCTGCTTCTCCTTTTATAGGCGAAGGGAAAGCGCGGGTTACAGTGGAGGAAAAGGAGAAGAACGAGAGAGAAGAAGGCTTCTAGGGTTGCCGGGTCCTTCTACTCCTTCATGCGGGTCCCGCCGATCCTATAGATGTCAACAGGGATGGCTCCATGTCGCGGCCCTGTTCGTCACTAGCACTATGCGCATGCGCCATCTGTCGGTCATGGCGTTCCACTCCGTCCCGGCAAACGTCGTGGTGAACTGATGCGCCTGTCAGTGTCCATACGAGGATTAGGCAGAACAGCACCGGCACGCCCAACACTGTTCTTGATGTGAATCCCCGGGTATAGCCCGTCATGGCTATGGGTTACGTCGAGGCGTGCCAGCCTTTTCCCTAGCGTTAGAGTTTTGACCCAGGCCCATACGCTTGGATCTATAGTGATTGGCGGCGGTATGGGTCCACGTCGGTCGAGATGAAACCCGCATCCTCGATGTCAGGCGAGACAGAGCTCGTGACCTTGGGCGAGACGGAAACTGCGCCCTTAGGGTTGGGCGAGACAAAGCCCGCACCCAAGGGATCGGGTGAGACGGAGCCTGCGGCCTGGAGGTCGGGAGAGACAGAGAACACGGCCTCAAGGTCGGGCGAGACGGAGCCCGCGGCCTTGGGCGAGACAGAACCCGCACCCAAAGGGTCGGGTGAGACAGCAAAATGAGCTAGCCAATGCTACTCTGAAGTCTAAATCAATCGATGGAGCAGGACGCAACAAAGAGCAGAGCAGCATATCTCACTTGGATTGATGCTGAGGGTCCACCACTCCGCTGTCACGAACCCCATTGCTCCTCTGCTGGTGTCCAGTGTTTGGATCGGCAGCCTCCCGAAAATACCCAATCGCCACTCAAACATTCAAGTGAAAAGATTGTAACCACTGCGATGCTCTGTGCTCAGTCACAAACTCACACAGATGGGTAGAGGAGGATCCTAATCAGTTTCTTCTCGACAAAGAACGATCTATTGTGTTATTTTTTTACTGTGAACTAAATGTCAGTGTTGATTGCGGAGATCTAAACATGTTTTCAAGCATTTGGCAATAAGAACATAGTTGTCGGTGTTTCGAGTAACCACCGATGAGTAAATTTCTATAATTTCGCGTCTGGCTCGGATGGTGTGTTTAGAGGACACGAGGTTTATACTGGTTCGAGCAGAATATTCCTACGTCCAGTTCGTCGTAGCCGCTCATGTTACTAGCACTGAAAGTTTGCAGTAGGGGTTACAAACGGACGAGAGAGGAACATGTCCCAAGTCTCTAGTGAAAGAAGTAAAAGGGTGCTGAGTGCTCGGTTGCTGCCCGCGGCCTCGAGGTCGGGCGAGACGGAGCCCATGGCCTCGGGGTCGGGCGAGACCTTTTAATACGTCTTGAGCCATCTAGGGAAGTCAGCGTGGACGCTAACTACCTTACTTTGGGTATCCCTAATAGTGGTTGGTGAGACCTTTTAAATACTCCTTTGGAGGTTTTTTCGGATAGGAGGACTCTAAGGGCCTTGGCCTTCTTTTTGTAGCCCGCGACATGTCCTAGTAGGATGGTGATTCCCTTTTGTCACGATCAGTCTTCTTGGGGGCATGTAACCATAGGATTCGGGAGGTTGGAAAGATTTTTCTTGATTCTGGTCCCCTAGGATCCGATCGGTCCACCGACGTACTGCGACGCGCGTTCGGTCTCCTTGCGAGTCCAACTTCCCTTGAGCCATCGCGCGTAGCAGGGGCCCGGTCGAGGGTTGGCTCATCTTTGTGTTCATCATCCCTCAAGCATTTTTTCGATAAAACGGAGGGGCTGAGCCATGCCATGATTTTCCTCGATGGACGAAACATGGTGTTCGGTGAGCTGTTAAAGGGCTAGTTCGAGTGGGGCCCTGGCTTCCCATTCGTGGGGGTCCAGCATGGGTCAGCTGGTGACCAACTCTAGATTCTCAGTGGCCAATCTATATAGTTCTCGGGTCCATGTCCGAAGGGCTCGTTGCCTTTCTTCAAGGAAAAACCATGGACTGGGAACCAACCAAGACTCGAACGTGGGCCAGGATGCCCGCGGCGCTTGTGCGCCCAGGTACTGGCCGCTAATGGGCCCATCCCTTTCCACCCCTCACTCTAAGGGCACCCGAAAGCGGCGGTGAACCCGTTGGAGGGCCAGCCTTTTGAACTCTAGGGCCTGAATGGGCCATAGGAGCATTTTTAGCTCCGTATCCCTCCTTACCTGTGACGGTTCTCGCGCCTATCTACACTGACGCAGAGCTGGACGACATCGAGAAGGAGGTGGCCCCTCTGGCACAGGACTTACCTGCCGAGATAGAGGATGAGATCATCCACCCAAGAAATTAGTTAGGTAAATAAGCCAAGCGTCGAACTTGTAATAAGTGGGCAAGCTCTTAAATTTCGTTATGGCCAAATAGATTTTTAGCTCTTCTCCCCTTTTTGTATAAAAAGGTTAATGCATTCCGACCATTTTCGTCGTTAAGGTTGTAAATCTCGTGGTGCGGGTGAAAAAACTCTGATCACGCTGATGAGCAAAAACACCGTAGCCACTGGGGCGTAGGTTTCTCACAGTCCGACTAGTTTTACTCAGCGTTCATTTTTGCAACCCTTGCTTCTAGATCTTAACGTAAGAAAGGGTCAGACACAGAGAATGTTTGCCGGGTAGATATACTCTTTAATGCGTTCCGACTCTTTTCGTAGTTAAGGCTAAAAAGCTCAGGGTGCGGGCAAAAAACTCTGATCACGCTAGTGAGCAAGAACGTCGTAGCTGCTGGGGTATAGGTTTCTTGCGGTCCGACCAGTTTTACTCAATGTTTGTTTCTGCAACCCTTGCTTCTAGATCTTAACGTGAGAAAGGGTCAGGCATAGAGAATGTCTATCGGATAGATATGCTCTTATCAGCCCCTGAGTGAGGCCCAACCCTTTGCCGTTGCTAGGGTCAGGTGTCACTAAAGATCGAGGAGTCGATAGCGAAACCGATAAGTGAAAGCGTGCGTAGATTAAGGGTAAAAGCGATGTAGCTGTTCGATGTTCTAAGCGTTGACGAAGACTTCGGCGTCGATGGTCTTGAGCTTATAAGTGCCTGGTTGGAGCACGTCTTGCGATGACGTA